TTTTGGTTCTTTTGGATATTACTCGATGTAGTTTTAGTATGTTTGACGTTAACTTTGATAATATTAGTTTAAACTTAACGGAAAAGTTTAAGTCTTATTTTAATATTAGTGTATTTCAATAAATAGTGATGTTTTATAATTTTTGGTTTTTAAAAAAAATCCCCGTTTCCCCGTTGGGGATCCCCGTTCCCCGTTGGGGATGGGGATGGGGATGTGATCATAATCCCCGGCGGGGACGGGGACGGGGACGGGGATGGGGACACATACGGGGATCGGGGACGGGGATGGGTATTGGGGTCCCCGCCCCATCCCCGCCCCATTACCATCCCTATTTTCAAAGCAAAATTCAAACCTAAAAGACAATAATTTAAACTATTAAAATTCAGGTTCCACTTTCAAAAAATAAGGAAACTTTAAGGACCAAAAGTGAAGTTACTCTAATAATAATAATAGTAACCTCGAACTTAACAACCCCCTTTCTGGAAGATTCCTCTGAATATTTTAATATATACTTAATAAAAAAGACCATATATTTATTTTATTTTCTTGGTTTTTTATGTTTAATTAATTAAAATCATATTTGGTAACGAGATTGTTTGTCTTAATTGGTGTTTAATGGTTGTTGAACGATTTGATGTAGAATGATTAAAATACTCTCATGATATAGTATAAAATGAAATATAATTATTCGATAATTATTTACAATAAAGTTAGAGCACTGAATGGTTAAGAGAAACCCATGATACAAAATCATTTAAAAGATTTTAGAATCATTAAGAGACATCTTTTTTTGTCAAACAAGATTTATCTCTTAACTATTCAGAGGCTGACACTTAATAAATACGTTATAATAATATAAAAATAGCCAAATAAAAAAAGGCATTTAACACGACCGTATGAAATTGCCAAACAAACGTACCAAATAACAAAAGCATTTTTCCACGATCAACCTAACACACTACAACAAAATTCGTTTTACCTGATGTTTAGATCATCTAAGTGTCCTAATATAATACTTTATACAACTTAAGTTTATAGGACCAAGTTATAAAACGTCCAATCTAAAAATGTTTACACTAGGTTTATAGGTATTTTTTGAAATAAAATGTCTTATTAGCTATTTTATTATACATTTTTAGAAGTGATAATCAACCCATCTTTTTGATAGGACATTTGTGTTTGTAGTTCAAATAGTGTTGTATAAAATAGTTAATACGACATTTTATTTTAAAAGCGTCTTAAAAGTTGTTAAAACGTCTTATAAACCTATTGTAACACTTTTAGATGAGATCTTTTTGATTTGGTTCTATAAAGTATTTCTTTTAGGATGTTTCTACATTTTAGATGTCTTAATCAGTTTTGTTGTGGTGACACCACTAGAAAGCTGACTTTCCACCGATGGAAATTACAAGCGAATTTTCCACCGTTGGTTTAATAAGTCATTTTTAATTAATTACTAATTTAATTAAGTCTTAATTAGTCATTTTTAATTAGATTTTATAAAATATTAGCGCGGTGCTTACCAATCCGTCGCTAAATCTGATTATCAGCAATGCTATTTGCAATAGCGTGATTCCGTCAATAATCCATCACTGATGTTTATACCAAACTGAAACTCAAAAACAAACCACATGTTAAGAAAATATAAACGATACCATTTTCAAATTCAATATTTTCAGTTTCAAACGTTGTTTTTTATCGTTGAAAATGCATTATTTATATAGCGTTCTATGAACATATTGCATCGCCATCTTTAAAGCTCGTAAGTCATTCCGACCTTTAACATCCTTTTATGCGGAATTTCGAACACACTTGAACTTTTATATAGCGTTCTATGAACTTGTTCTCGTTGTAGTTTCAAAATACATACGGTGGCACACAACAGATTAATATGGTTGCCCCTTTCACGAACCTAAATTTTTTTACCTTTCGACGGCGGAATAATACGGTGGCACGTGCCACCATAACCACCAAAGTAGGTCCGTTCCTGGATGGAACGCTTTTTGATTTGGTTCTATAAACTATTTTTTTAAGACGTTTTTAAATTTTAGACGTCCTAATCAGTTTTGTTGAGGTGACACTACTAGAAAGCTGACTTTTCATCGAGGGAAATTACGACCGTATTTTCCGCCGCTGGTTTAACAAGTCGTTTTAATTAATTACTAATTCAATTAAATCTGATTATCAGCAAATGTTATTTGCAATAGCGTGATTCCGTCGATAATCCGTCGCTGATGACTTTTACTAGCGTATTTTTCCATCAGTTTCCGGATTTTAGATACGACATTTGCATACTTCATAGAAAACCGTATTCAACGTAATAGTATTTTATAATTACATCATTCAGACATCTACAATTAATTGAATGTGATCGTTCAAGTTCATATCAAACGATCGAAACTCAAAAACAAACCACATGTTAAGAAAATACAAACCATACAAATTTCCAAATTCGATATTTTCCACACTTCAAACGTTACTTTTTTTATCGTTAAAAATGCATTATTTATATAGCGTTCGATATATAAACATATTGCATCATCGTCTTTAAAGCTCGTAAGTCATTCCGACCTTCAACATCCTTTTATGCGGAATTTCGAACACACTTGAACTTTGCCGTAAGTTCTTCCTCATGAAATTGTAAGCGTAATCGATCAAAAACCTCTTCCCAATCGAAGACCCTGATTTAGACACGATCTCGTGCTCGCCCACCAAATGCACGACTCCTGCTCGCCAACTTTTGTCTAGAACCACCAGATCTTCATCCGCTACACGACGGTTTTGTTCTTCGGGAGCTCTATAATCGGTTTCCACGAATTCCTTCAAATGTTCGATCAAAATCTTCTCAAACGAGTCCTTTTCGTTGCGCACGTCAGTGTACCCGTACCTCACCACACATCGGAAAACATAGAGCTCATTTGGCTTCACCCTTCGGAACAAGAATCGCTCTTCTGGTGCCACCCTACTTATTGGTAACGATTTGATGGAAACAAACACGAGAACCGAATGTAAAGCGGGCACGTTATCAACATAATGTTTAAAGATCGGGGGAATTCCATGGGCGAGCTCGGAGTAGAAGATTGCGAGTCCACGCATCTTGCTTATGCTCGTGTCCGAAACAATGTCTTTTATGACTTCTCGTGGCACCTTGTGATTGAGCTCGTAGTTGTATTTCGCTCGATGAACGTAGTTCCAAGTGCACATTATGAACATTAGCACGATTGCGAATGAAAATGGCAAGTACCCGCCTTCACCAAATTTGTACAAAACCGAGCTTAAATAGAAGTACTCCGTGGAGCTAATCACGAGAACGTATAAGATCACCAGAAGTATGTTCGTTTTCCATATAACGAGCATGATCACCACCATGAACGACGATGTGAGCGTCTCGGCAAATATCACCGCGATACCTTCATCGAATAAAGGGCAAAAGTTCGAGTTGAAAATGTTAGAGAACACAAAAAGAAAATACAATTGTGAATTTAAAATCGGTTTTATAGGACGCTTTTGAAAAGTAATCTATAAACCTATATTTTTATAGATCCACTTGTGTTTATAGAACATTTTTCAAATAGTGTCGTATACAATAGCTAATAAGACACTTTATTTCAAAAACGTCCTAAAAACTTGTTAAAACTCCTAAAAACGTCCTATAAAACTGTTGTAACACTTTTATATAGAACGCATTTTGGTTTGGTAGTATAAACTTAAGTCCTATTAAGTATTCTATTAGGACGCTTAGATATTTTGGGCGTCCTATAAAACCAATTTTATTGTAATGAGTTGAGTGGTAGCAAAGCATGCAAAATTCTTACCGTAAGCATGGCCGATGTTTTCGGTAGTTCTGAATGTAACGGTAACAATAACACAACCGATCATAAGAAGATAGTTCATTTCCGGTATGAAAACTTGTCCTTCATACTTTTCCGATGTATGCACAACTGTAACACGAGGAAAGCACCCTAGCGAAAGTGATTGTTTGATGATCGAGAATGTTCCCGATATCATAGCTTGACTTGCTATAATCGCTGCCATAACCGCCACCACGAAAACCGGCCAATACAAGGCATCCGGAGCCGACTTATAGAATGTGTCGGCTACGTCATCTTGGTGCTTTCTTAGCCACGATGCTTGACCACTATACGCTGTGATCAAGGCCGGATAAACGACACAACCCATGCTTATTTGTATCGATTTGACCGTAAAGTGTCCAAGATCAGCAAACATCGCCTCGGTTCCTGTTATATTCGAATCAAAATTGTCAAAAAACCGCAACAAAATCAAAGTCAAAATATATATATCTAAAAGCATCATATCAACTTATTGTAACATTTTAATAAAGCCCACAAACAAGTATTTCGTCCTATTGGACATTTAGGGTCCGTTTGGTTGATTTTCTATTAAGTTTTGTATGAATGAAGTTGTCTGTGTGAGTTAATCTGTCTGTATAGATTGGAAAGATTTTTGTTTGGAGGGGTTTTTTCATAGATGGAAGGAGCGTGTTTTTTAAATTGGAAGGGACATATTTGGGGGAAAAAAACTTGGTTTTTAATTTGGCATAAAACTTCCCCTAGAAACTAACCGGATAAGTCACTTTCTATATCATTAAGTCACTCCCAAACAATCATATGTATGGATGACAGAACAAGTTGTTAGTCTTATTAAGCTCATTAAGCTGCTAACAAACAGGCCTTAAATATATTTAGTGTTCTATAAAATCGAGTTTTGTCATAGTGGAAGTACCTGTAATGGCGAGGACGACGCCTCCAAGTGAAATCCAAGCATCCTTTTTGTTTCGTCTGAAGTAATCGACGATGTATTTAGGGTTTATGGCTTTGGCGACAGAAGGGTCGAACTTGATGAAATTGAAGACACCGATTCCGCCAATGAGGGCAAACCAAACGCAAATGATCGGGGCAAAAGAGTAGCCAACTTTATCGGTTCCGAATCTTTGAACCATGAATAACGTTATCAAGATTATAACTGACACGATTACAATCCGACCTGCATCAATCCGTTTCCAAGAATTCAGTAAAGTTGTGGTAACTTTTTTATGACACGGTACAATAAAATTGAATTTATGGGACGCTTAAAATATCTAAGCGTTCTAATAAGATACTTTACAAAACTTAAGTTTATAAGACCTAATTATAAAGTTCCGTATCTAAAAGTGTTGCAATAGGTTTATATGATGTTTTTAGACGTTTTAACAAGTTTCTTATAGGACAATTTTGAAAAGGGTCCTATAAGCTCATCTTTTTACAGGACACTTATGTTTATAGAAGTCCTTTCTCAAAACAGTGTCATATAAAATAACAAACGCAACATTTTATTTTAAAAACGTCCTAAAAAACTTGTGATAACGTTCAAAAGCGTTTTTTAAAAATACTGTAACACTTTTAAATATGACGTTTTTTTGTTTGGTCATATAAACTTAGTAGCCTATAAAGTATTCCATTATTACACTTAAACATTTTAGACGTTCTATAAACCAGATATTGTTTTAGTAACAAAAGATCAGTTATTTGCAACGTTCCTGATAAAAAAAAAATCTCATCTATTATTATTGATTTCCTTCCAAGTGTTTTACTTACGAAATTGTCCATTGGAATAACGTTCTTATCCAAGAATAACTGTATACAACGTTTAGGTTGGGTTCACGTGATAACAGTCTGTTTTCGTGAGACCCGTGAAACCATTTTTTTACACTTGATAGCAAAACGATGTGAAGGTAAAAAACCGAACCTTCACAGTGTTTTGTTCTGAAGTTTCAAAGGTAAAAAAATGGTCTCACGGGTCTCACGAAAGCAGACTGGTCTCACGTGATTTCAAGTCTACAACGTTTTCAATCGATGTTAATAAATTTAAGGTTAACAAAAGCTTAATTAAAGTTTATTCGAATAACGTAGAAAAAATAATTTACGTTAATTATACGAACCAATTAAATTAAATTTTTTATTTAAAAAAAAAATTATTATGTGTTTCTTGAGATCCACCCTCCCACGTTGACAACGTCACTGTTTAACATTTTTAAATATATTTTAATTTATTATTTAATAATCACGTTTTAATTATTAAAAAAAATATTTTATAGTAGAAGGTTTAAATGAAATATTCATATGTGAATAATCGATAAAGTCTATATAAATAGGCATATGTTAACCAACGTTAGTAATTTGTAATTTCGGTTTATATATGCATTTTTAAATAGATTTTTTGGAATTTTTTCAAACGATTCACATATGAATTTTTTCTTTTTTTACTTTATCACGATATGTAGCTATTTTTTAATCGGTCTGTATATCTATATAGAGGGACAAAATAGTTAAAAACCCAAAACTTACCTTCTGTCATGGTATCTGTTGCTTCCTTAAGCCCTGATACTGCTGATAAAACTGTAACGAAATACGTTATAATCAAATAAAAACAGTTGATATTGAGGGAATATGTGAAATCTTATTGGTTACTTTCCAAAGAAACTCTAAAGAAAACGATGAAAAATTCAACATATATTGAAGAGAAATTATCTAAACTTAGCAGGGGTTGAATTACGCCCAAGAGTCGGGGTCAGCTGACGACCATAAATTTTCAAAATTTGATCGTTTATATTATAAATTTTATTTTTTACAAATATATATATATATATACTAGAAAGATATTCGTACAATGCAACGAGATACATCTTCATTTTAATGTTTTGTTTTATTTTATCTTTATTGATATAATACGGTTTATGTGGTTTTGAGAAAGATAATGTTTTTACTTGTGAATAAAAATAAATTTAAAAAATATATCGATATTAATACCAAATTAACTATTTAAAAGTTCTCGTTTTTTTTTACATTTTTTAATTTAAAATTTTATTATAATTTAATTTAGGTCAAATAGTGAAATAATTTATTTTTGGCTTAACAATAAAATTNTTAGAACTCAATAATTATTCTAATTATATTTTAAATAATTTATATTTAAAATGAGTTATTTATCTTGTATTTAATTATATTTATTTGCAGTTAGTTATACGAATTCAAAAATGAAGATTTAATGAGTTGTACTTATGCATAATTTACTTGTAATCCTAAATCTTAAGTAATATGCATTAATACACACTACTTCATGCATAAATAATGGTTTTTAAGAATTTATGTCGAATGTTTTATGATATAGTATATATATATATATATATATATATATATATTGTCTTGACTTAGAATTATCCAATAACCAAAAATTTGTGATCCCTTACTCCAGATTTTGGACTGACTTTAACAATTATAAATCAACAGGGTAAAATCAGATACCTGATATGGAGGGAGTGAGGATGCCATCACCGATAACCATAGAAGTCCCGAGCATGGCAGCGAATAGAAGACAAAACTTCGCAAACTTGCTATTCTCGAGAGCTTTCTTGAATTTTGACGATATTGTGTTAACTTTGCTCGGTAATTCAAGTTGGAAATTGGAAACCTCTCGGTCCTCTGCTTGCTCACTCGGGATTACACCAACCTTTGCAAACCGACATAGTTTCGAGTACAATGCAAAAGTACCCCCTATTATTCAAAAAAATACAAATTAATCATCTGAATCAAATGACATTAAAAATCCCGACTCAATAAACAAGTTTAACGTTACAAAAACGCAAAATGGAAAATAAAAGGGAATTGTTACCAAATATATTCTTCTTGATTTAATTATTTTTAGATAAATATTTAATTATATTTTGAATTTTTGAATTTTTATTCTCTCTTTTAACATTATTATATGCACAATATGTAGTCAACGGGAAGTCGCGTTCCATGTCCCATGTAGATCTAATTTTGATCCAAGGCATCTTAGGATATTATATATAGGATTGGGTTAATGTGAGATCAGTATATTTTCGTGAGGTCCATGAGACTATTTATTTACATACGAAACTTTACAGCAAAACACTGTGAAGGTAAAAAAAAAAAACCAAATATTCACAGTAATAACACTGTGAATGTTACTTTCACAACGTTTTGTTGTGAAGTTTCAAGTGTAAAAAAGTGGTCTCTCTCTCTCTCTATATATACAATTTGTATTAGATCAGGTTTATGCGATATCAACCTTTTTTTTAATTATACAATATTTATATACAGCAAATGTAACAAATAAACTCACACACCCTCCTCACCTTTGATAAAGTTTGAACCCTTGACCTCTTAGGAGGCAAAAAGCTACGATACCGCTAAGTCAAATACTCTTTGGTGATATCAATCATTTTTTGTAAGACATTTGAGACCATTATAAAAGGACTTTTAGTGAAGGTTTGATTTTTATTTGTTACATTTGTTGTATATATTTGTTATATACTTAAAAAAAAGGTTTGGGGAGATCAAGTGATTCAATGACTACGAGGTGGTCTCACATGATCCCAACGACAACGAGATGGTCTCATTTAAACGAATACCACTTGTATCTTTCCATGTTTTTTGTGTCGTTTTTCGTGAAATGGTGCATGTTAAAACACGAAATATGCAACAAAAACACGATAAAGGGAAGAATGTGTACCGTCGCCGTTATCGTTGGCATGTAAGACGATCATAACGTACTTAATTACAGGAATTAACGTGATAGTGTAAAAGATGAGCGATAACACGCCCAAAATGTCATCTTCGTGTTTGATCCCGTCAGTAAAAGTGCTCGCATACACATACAACGGCGACGTCCCGATGTCGCCGTAAACCACCCCAATGCTTTGGAAAGCTAGCCTCAATATTATTCCCCAATCCTTCAAACATTTCCATCAATATTTAGCCATTGAATCCAAATTAATCATCACATATTCACATGAGTATAGAAATGGGAGAAACTAATTAATTACTCCCCCTTTCTTTCTTAGAATAACGATTTCCAATTCTACCATTAATTATCAGATAGAAGAATTCATTACTCTATCTATTAACAAGGGTAAATTTGTCATTTAGTGTAGTAGTGAGAGGTTCAAATAACAAGACTAAATATCATGTTAAGTTAAGGTTCATATGTGAATCATTGAAAAAATCAAGTTGAAGATTATGTAAATCTATTGAATAATCTGTAAATAGATTTTTTCAACATATGAAACTTCAGTTAGCATTCACTTACCTTCTCACGGTATTTAGCTTTTTTTATTTGAACCAACTCCCACTGTAGTTTTTACATATTTTTAAAACCATGGGTCTTTTTCTTCGTGGACATTTATTTTGGAACAGAAGAAGTGTGTATATATATATATATATATATATATATATATATATTACTGACCTTGGTGCCATGGTGACCGTGGTGGCCGTGAATTTTCGCAGACTCGATATCTAAGGAATCGTGACGCTTTAATCCCGGGGGCTCGATTTCGGGAAGTAAAGGATCAGGTGTTTGATGAGAATAGATTTGGTTGTGGTTTTGATTATCGTCCTCTTCGTAGATATTGACGACGTTGGAGTTTCGTTTGCTGCCGCCGGGAGTGGACATGTTGGAGTTTCTTTTGCTGCCGCCGGGGGTAGACATGCCGGCTCCGGTGGTAGGGGATTCCGACGAGAGTGGAAGTTGGAGTGGGAAGAAACAATGGAGATGGTTGACGTTATATAGAGCCGTGGAGGTTCATCAGTCTTATTTTTATTGTTATCATATGAAGACAAAAAATAAACAATTAAATTAAAAAGCTTGAGATTTATAATATTGTTTTTATAAATTTGAGTCAGTTTACTGTATTTAGACACGGTTACAAAAAAATCCAAATATATATATATATAATATGAAAGGGTTCAAACAAGAACGCATTTATTTTACGAGAACGTAAGAACATTTTTTTGCTACAGACAATCATATGTGATACCATTATTTCATCACATATGATACACATGTGATACTAAATCAGAGACGAGGGGCGATTTTCATGCGATCTTGGTTGTGGCCAAGTCGCCCTTACACCACTAAGCTCATTCACAAGTATTATCACATGTGATAAGATTGTTGTTGATATGATATTATAATCCATCAAGACCATCACATGTGATGCTAAATAATAGAAGCATACGACCTTTTGCGCGGACTAAGTCGTAGAACACGTCGTCCGCACATCACAGGGTCCCCTCATGCGTATTATCACATGTGATAAGGGTGTTCTCGCGTTCTCGTAAAATGGTGGCGTTCTCGTTTGAACCTCCACCTATATATATATATATATATATATATATATGGTATATTTCAAATACAACCATGTTCATTTTTACAACCAATGCAACTCAATTAATTGAGAAATTTATAGAAATGATGAGAGTTTATTTATTATGATTTGAATATTTATGGAAGATGAATAGGGTTAATTAATTATGATCAATACTTTATATTAGAAAACAATCAAAACTTTTATAAAATCACATATTYATCAAATTAAATGGACGATTGAGATTGGGTTGTATTGGTTGTACAAATGTAAATGGTTCTATAATAACCAACTTCTATATATATATATATATATATATATAGGTTGGTTATTATACAACCATTTACATTTGTATACATATATATATAGGGGTCTATTCAAGGGAGAACTGAGTTGTTTGTGGTAACTGTGAGAACCAATATTAACCACAAATCAATAGATAAATTAGAAAATTTATAAATTTGGTAATTTTAAATTAAAATCTTAATGCAATGATATTTTTGGTATTTTAAAACTCTCCTCT